TTTCCCGGTTAGTAATTTACCATACCCACCCCACCCCACTCCACTCCCCATATAGAAAACAACACGACATAGGGCTTATCTGATTTATAATATAGGCCACACACGTGTGTTTGAAACTAAATATAAGCATTTTCATCATGGTTTTATTTATTACAAACATATTCTTTCACCATCAATACACATTGAGGCCCTTCTTTTAGGTTAAAACGGTCTATCTTAAATTTGTCTTCCTTGAGTTTGGGACTATTATGTGTTTAAATAACTTAAAAGGATAAACCTAAAAAAGCCTTAAAAAATGCGCGCGAGGTCATTATGATATCTTCCTTTTTATTCTTGTCTTTATTTTTCTCTTCTCTTTTTCTTTCCTTTTCTTTTCCTCTTCTTTCTCTCCCTCTCCCCTCTTTCATTTCTCTTATTACCCAGCCCTGTACGACGGCTTGGTCAGCCCGGTAAAAACCGTCAGGGGAGGGGCAGTTCCCCCCACCCCCACGCCTGTTATGACACACCAATCATCCCCCTCAATGAAAAATATTTTTCTACGCCACTGCATTGGACTATGCAAGAATAGTCATAAATTTTTGTCGCAGTCAGTGTCTACGTGTTCTATTGAGAATGTTTTCAGCAGGTTTCACTTGGAGAAGCTAGTCAACAGTTTTTAAGGTCCATTGGGCAATGCCAGTATGGTATGTGAGTTCCACTGGGAAATGCTAGACAACTAGTCTCCGTGGTACTTTGGACAATGCCAGTATGATCTGAGAGTTTCCTTGGTCAATGGGAGTTAGCTGGTCAAGCCCTTGGAAAATGCTAGTCAAGTCTATGGAAACTAAAGAAGTGTGACCCACATATGATTTGGAAACGACAGCACAGTACATTATACTTAGACCTCAGAAAAATGTACAGCTCACATTTTTACATTATTAATCTGTCTATTAAGAAATTTCGCTCACTCATGTTAAGCACTAATTTTACTTTACTCTATCTAAATTTGTATGAGGTAACTTTTTTGATGCACTGAGTTGTCTCAGTTTGTAAAAGGGCCAGAAGCCTATTATTACATGAAAAAACATGAAAATAATAAGCAATTAGTTAATATTAAATTTTATTGTAAATTGTTGTGATATATTGAATGAAGCATTTAAATCAAAGTCAATCATACATGGTCTAAAAATTGTTGAAATAATATAATATAAAAAAATAACAACATATGTACAGATCAAGATCAATATCATACAACACCAGCAATACAAACCACCTATCACATTATTTTTGTGGAATGCCAAACTTTTGATAAGTAAATACTACTAGCTTCATAGCTTTCAGGAAAATGATTCAGGAAATATAAAACATTTGTCTATTCATATGACAGTAATCCTTAATCAAATCCTCAGGAACTCAGTGGTCTTCTGTATAGAAATTATATTGTTAACTTGTGGTGTCATTTACATTGAAAATATAAATGTAAATTTACAAGTGTGAGAGTCTTGTATACAGTAATTTATTGACTACTTGAGCCTTGAATACATCAGCAGTACAGAAGTTACTATAAAAATAGAAAAGTGTTAAACCTGTTTCAATTAGATGATATTAAAGGGATACTGACAGACAGACTAGTGTCGCCCTCTAACAATAGGGACAGGTGGATAAATCAATACTTAAAATGGGATGCGAATTTTGCTTGTAGAGATCAGGGCTTTAAATTGCAACATTATTTAATTTATAGGTTTCTATTTACTGGAAATAGAAAATGTACATCAAAAGTATAGCATGATTCTGATGAAGAGAAACACATAAAATGGTATTTCAGCACTTTTCACTTAAACTCATTCATTTTTAAGAATACTTTAGTGAATAAAACAATCAATTATTAAATGGTATAAGATAGAAAATATAAGAGGTTTTTTTTGCGATGTAATGCAACCTGCTTTGCTAATTTCTTTCACATACCCTGTTTACTTTAGTCTATTCTATGTTCATTTCTACTCCTTTTGCCTGCATATACTCTTAAAATCACCTAACTTTACTCAACATTCACATCTACAGAAATTACCAAAACAAAATAAATGCATGTGTTAAACAAACTACCTTGATATAGCCTACATTTGTGAAAATGAACAGATGGGCAAATAGGAAATAATCAGTTGTCGGGAGTGGTAATGCTTGTTAGGTCTCTTCCAACATCAGACCAAGTGCAAGGTAAGCCTATCATAAACCTCTACCAACAACAAATCTGTTGGTGTAGCATGTCAACGAATGACAAATAAGGGTAAAAGACAATGTTCAAATGGGGGCGCATTTAACAAAGGCCTGATAATTTTAAAATGGCTAGAAATTATTCAGGCTTCAATGTAAAGATGTCATACAGTTAAAGCAGAAACACCAGAACATTCTCAACAGAGAATCTCTGGGTGGGGGATTTCTAGATGAACTAAAAAAAAAACCCTCAAATGGGATAGCTGTGAAAAAGGGGAAAAAGAAAATGAGTGGTAGAAATCAAAATGGGAGCTTCGCTATACAACCAAGAGAAATAGAAGACAACTAAAAAATTATGTTGTTTAAGTATGATAGGAATTTAATTCCCAAAACACATCTAGTAGTATGCTATGTGATCATTGCAGGCTTTGCTTTTTTTTTTAAATTATTAAATAAGACATTCAAACAGCAAAATGAAAAAAATTGTTTAAGTGTGCATAACCCACCAGAGAGGATAATGATGAATCAATTGAAGAAGTGTACAAACAAGTACTGTAGGCCTAAGGAAGGATGTGAAGGCAACTGCAATGAATAATTGAGACCTCAAGTTCAAGTTCAAATGAAATTTGTTTTCCAAGGTTCACAAAAAAAAAACCAGTGACATACTAAAATACTATACTATGGGTACGATATAAATAAGTTAGCCTATGCGTAAAATGATATTTAAAATATTATAAATATAAAAACAGATAAACATTGCATAAAAATTGCACTATGATCGAGTAAAAATATATGAAAGTGCAGTACACTTACATACTAGGATAAAATACAAAATATCTTAAGTTATCCACTGATTAATCTCAGACAAGAAAGTATAATACATACAAAGGTCCACTGATTAATCTCAGATAAGAAAGTGTAATACATACTCCAAGTATAGAAACACGTTGGCGTGCATTTCAGTACGTATATACTTACTAATCGAGACTCCAATGCCAAGGTAGATGGTTGTTAACCTGAAGAGGAAGTCATTATAGTTTGGGATCATGAAGAATTAGACATGCTGCTGGAACCACATGTATTGAGATTCTGACAAGGATTTTTATTCTCAGTTTAAGCAGCGTCTGAAAAACCATCCATAGAAAAAATCTAGCCAAAACTTTACAGTAACGTAATCTTTGCAATAACACAGAAAGAATAACGTACATTATTTGCCATAAAACAATATGGCAAATTACAATTTTATACAATAATTTAAAAACCAAAAGGTCCACTGATTAATCTCATGATAAGAAAGTATTATACATACGCCAAGTATTAAAATGCACGCCATCGTGTTGGGATTCAATATTTTGACATCAAATATTTAAACTTTAAAACATTCCTGATGACGACATAATTAATGTTGAAATATTGAATCCCAACACGATGGTGGCAATACAATATTATATTCTTTATTATTCAGAATCAATGTCAACTGTATTCGGACTAAGATATTAAGTTGAACAAACATAAAAAATGTGATCATATGTAGGACGAGATAAACTTGCAGACCTCTTCTACTTTATACCGTAAACAATCCACAGTCAAGATGAAACGGCTCGGACTCCTTGAGGTGAGGGATTTGAAACGGCCAGTTGTCCAAGTCACTTGGACACTTTATCTACATTTGTCTCTCTCTATCTGGAAGTAGTGTAGTGTATGTTAAAAGGGAAGACTTTTTATGTCACTGCTTAAATTCTTTATCACTTATTTATAGAAGTTGGCGGAGGTGAGAAGGAAGTGGGGTTAAAATAGCTTCTACTCATCTGCCATTAGGGCCGAAAATACAGTAACACTATAAAATTATAAATTGTTAGTAGTGGGGTATGCCTGGCTGCGGCCGTAGGATATGTACGACCCTAACCTGTGATGCATAGTTCATTGGTTTTTGATGATATTCTTGAACTTTTAATTTATTTATTTTAGGTTGGTAATGTTGCACCTGGTTTCTATGTCTCTGACAAAGGACAATAAAATATATCTGTATCTGTAAAATGTATATCTGAATAACCAAGTTTTTGCAGACTTCCTTGCCTTAGTCTAAGTTTGGTAATTTTGTATGTTTTTGTTTTATTTTCTCTTAAACACACCTACTTATTTGGAAGAGTGCCACCGATATAAAAGTTTAGATTTTCTGGAAAAATAAATAAACTGTATTTTAAGTGGGTATCGGGTAGGACCAAGTGCTGAATCTGCAATTTGAATGACTTAAATTTGGAATATTATTATTCTTGTAATTTTAATGATTGTAACAATGGAAAATTTTAAAATGTTTTTATTTTTTATTTTACTGTAGCTAGGATTTTTATAACTATATTTGAATTGTTTTGAAAGAGCCTCTTCAAGTCAGCATTGCTGTTAGAGCTACCCCCTTGATAGGTTATCAAATACATAAATCTAGTGGCTAATGGCATTGTGCTCCCCAGGTGTTTGGTCCAGTGACTATGGGTTATAACTATAAAACCTAGAAGCCCATCTCGAATTGAAGCCCCCTCTTTATTTTGCAATAGTAGCCTCGAAAACAAGCCCATGGGCTTCTTTTCAATATAGCATGGGCTTTTTTTTTTTGGGATAATACAGTAAGCTGTACATGAATTGGAACACACTTGGTTTATACTGCAGTTTAGGTAATTTAATGCTGATTAATACATTCCATGATACAGATTGATGTAACAGTGGCCCTATTTATTGTTTCATAACTTCCTGTAGTAATTCTAAAAATTCACAGCATTCATTTTGAAAAGAAGCTCCCCTCTTTACTTTGCAAAATTAGCCTTGAAAAGAAGCCTGTCTCGAAAAAAAGCCCATCCAAAGTACGCCAAAACGAGAAGCCCAGGGCTTCAATTCAAGGTTTTACAGTATGTGCTATATAAATGTCACATTATTATTATATCATTAATAAATAAATATACTTTCAATTAACATTTAACTTTCATTTGATTGTGCTAGTTGTACTAAAATGTGAAAATATCAGTTAAGGAATTACACACTAGCTGTATTAATTAGGTGGCAAACAAAAATGTAACATGATCTACAATGTAGTTAATGGATTATATGAATGTAGGTAGCTAGTCTGTGTTAACACAAAACTTAATGTCACCATTAAAAACTACTCAGTACCAAATTAAAGGACAGAAACGTGTAAGCACTCACAGATATTCCTCTTTAAAGTAGAAGATCAACACCCTGCAACAAACAGATATAGAAAATGCACTACATATTCGACTACTGAATTTTGAAGCTGTGGATTTTTAGTAAGGGGCCGAAAACAGAAAATTAAAACTCTACTTTACCAATGATGTTATTTCGTTTGTAGATAAACACTGACTAGACATATAACTAAACATTAAAAAAATCAGACCATTTTTTTAGTCCTAGTCAGGTCTGTGCAAGCTATTTTGCTGAATTTAAATATTTAATTTCAGAACATTATTTCTTGTATCTCTACAGCAGGAGTGGCGCCAGTGGGGGCCCCGGAGCACCCTGTTGGGGAAAGCTGCTCCCTCATTGGGGACGAAAAACACAATTTGTTGGGGAGGAAAAAATTATATGTATTTTTTTACATATTAGTACTCTAAAATAGATTATAAACCTTTGAAACACCTAAATTGTCATATATTTGGAGACAGGTTTGTAGAGCATTTGCGCTCCATCAATCTCAACCCACCAGGTCTTCCTATAGCGAAACACTTCAATGATAATCATGACATTAAGAGAGATATATTAGTAACTGGTATTAAACATTGTAACTCATCTGAAACTAATCGTAAACGGTTTGAAGAACGTATCATTTTTCCACTAGGAACTCTGAAGCCAGATGGACTTAATGTTTCATTCAAAGACTGCGGATATTAATTGCCTTATGTTATATTAATATTAGTAATTTACATGGATATTTTTAACATTCCTATTATAAGCAGTTTATATTTTTATGCCGTTTTAATTTGACATGTTATTTTGTATGTTTTTCCTTTTGTTAGGTATCTGGCAATGGCATAGTTTAGCTTTTAGCTGTCTATAGTTGCAGTATATATTTTTATGCCATTTTAATTTGACATGTTATTTGTATGCTTTTTCCTTTTGTTAGATATCTGGCATAGTGAACTTATATATATATATATATATATATCTGTATATATTCATATATATACACATGTTGCATAGCACTGTTAACATAAACACATAAATGATTGCAGAAATAAAGGAACATATGATATATCCACAGAAAGCAACAAAAAGAGTTCCTAATGATTTGTCTGAGAAAATACTATCAGCAAGAATTGAACCTGCAACTTCTTGCTATCAAGGCAGTAGGGGGTTTTTTGTTTATTCTAGTTACAATGACTCTACTGAACATTATCAAAAGGTTACGAAAATCAGATACCAGCTAAGCATAAATTCAAAATGGCAGCGAACAACTTCTTTGAGGTCCCATTGCCTCCTGAATGGTTCGGTTCAGACCCTATATGTTAAAAATACATACAAATTAGATTTTAAAATAAAGCAAGAAAATAAAATCAAAGATCATATAAAAAGCATTAATTAATATTACAAACTTTTCTCTCATACCTAGACCTTCCGTTGATATAACATCATGATACGATTATGAAATAAACATAGTCTATACACCTGAGATCCAAAATCATTAGCAATTGTCCTACATACTGAGGGCGCTATCATTAAATTTCACTGAATGTTTATTACACTTGTGTTTTTTTTTTTTTTTTAAAAAGGCATATTTTAAAATAAGAATGTCAGAAAGAAAACTAGAGCTTTTGGATGATTAATATCTTTCAACCATGGTTGGAAGCAAATATAAGTTATAAGGAGATACTGACATTGAACAAGGGAATAACCTGGTTAGAACACAAATTTATGTTTGGTCAATTTATAATTTCCAGAATCTATTTGTTCATTTCTACAAAGAAGCACACAATATAACCAGAGCCTTGCAGGCGTCAACATTCCTATGCATGATACATGACTTTAAGAAGTATATATATGTGTGTATATATATATATATATATATATATATATACATATAAATATATATATACACATATATACGTATATGTATATATATACACATATATACGTA